GAGTGCTTAAGGAGGAGAACGATTGGCAACCAGGAGCACGACAATATCTTAGTCTTCGAATCCTGAATCTGGTTGTAATGGAGGCCTTGTGTCCTGACTATAAGAAACATGAGCCTGGTAATTCACCTTTAATTTGTTGAGGCACTTTGTTTCTCTTTGTCTTAGTCATACAACAACAGGCGCCTCCTCCTTTTCTTAGCAGCTAGTACTGCAATTTCTAGCATCTGGGTTTTTACTTCAGTCTCAGTTGCTGTTTTACTTTTTTTTCTTTCAAAGTTTTTGTATGTACCTTTTAAGTTTTTAATAAAATTGGTGTCGCCATTATAAAAAATTGTTAATATTGATGGATATTGGGATTCAAAGATTTGTGCTTCGACAATAGGGACTTAGATAAATACTATGTCAAAAACCAGTTCATCATAGTTTTTCGGTTGTTGCGAAATATTTTTAATTAGATTACTACATTACGCATAATATGATGCTGAAGGGAAGAGACCACTAACAAAATTTGAAATTATATTTTTGCTCCTAGTAATTGTAAAGTGCAAATAAAACTCAATTAGAGGAGGCAAATGGATTGGATCCATGGAATTAATAGTGTATTAAATTGGTGTATCCATGGATCAAATAGATTCATGGATTGAATCAACTGGATTGGCGGATTGATGTACGAATCCAAATAACATCCAAGGTTTGTACTAATATGTAAATTTTAAAAAGTTTGGGTACTAAAATGCCATAATAAAAAAATTAGGTACCAAAAAAGTAATTTTAAAATGATATTTTTTCTAAAAATTAAATTATAGGTACAAAAATGTAAAAATTAAAAAATATAGATAAACGTAATTTGCCATTTGGATACATAGATCAATCCATGAATGCACCAATCCACAATTTGGATCAAATAGATTAGATTTAAATGGATTGGATTAACTAAATATATAGTGAATGAATTTATGAATTGGATTGAAAATTGTCACTTCTAACCTCAATAGTTTGGGTTATTAAAAAACACTTAGTCAAGTCAGGTATGTATTTTTTAATAATAGAGACCAATAACGAAGTCGGAGTTGGTTGGAAGTGGGATGAGTCATAGGACAATAATAACTAGTCAAACCTTTTAAGGTAGGTCCTTACACTAGGAAAAAATCCCAAAGTACACATGTTCTTAAAAAAAATTCCCAAAATACATAAGTTATAAAAAAAATTCCAAAACTACACATGTTTGGCATTCACCGTTTTTGACAAACGCAGTGAAGGCTATCACCGCGTTTGTCAAAAACGGTGAAGTATTAACCGCTTTAAATTAAAACGGTGAAGTATTCACCGCTTTGGATCAAAACGGTGAAGTATTCACGTCTTTCTTCAAAACGGTGAATACTTCACAGTTTTAATTAAAAGCGGTGACTTCTTCCCAGCTGTAGTTGGCCACGAGTAAGCGACGCGGATCGCTAACATGGACAAACGCGGGGTATTCACCTCGTTAGACAAACGCGGTGAATACTCCGTGTTTGTCCACGTCAGCGATCCGCGTCGCATTTCATTTCACCGTGGCCGTTAGATGCGGTGAGGCGCGGATCATGGTTTTCTTTCCAGATCCGACGCCTCACAGCTGGTCCACGTCGCCCCCATCACCGCCTTTGACTTGAACGGTGTATTCACCGCGTTCCACAAACGCGGTGAAGGCGTCCAGAAATTAAATCCGTCAGATCCCTTCCCCCCCTTCCAAACACTATAAATAGACCCCCTCCCTCCCCCCCCCCCCCCCCCCCCCCCTCTACAAATCACACCTCAACTTATTCTTCTTTCTCCCTCAATTTATCCGCTCTAGTCTCGTTCAAAGTATGCTATGTGGTTGCGGATAAATCCGATCTTCCACATCAGAAAGAATTACTAGAGTTTGACCCTAAAGCCCCCGTCCCGCTAAGGTCCCGTCCCTTACAAACCTGAACCCGTCGAACCTCAGTCCGGCTTCTGCCAAAAAATGGACGAACAAGCTCTACGTGTAGGTTTTTTTTTGTGTTCTTATTTTTAATCGTAACAATTTGATTTTGTGATTTTTTTTATCAAAACAATCTCTGATTTCATTACTTTTTTATAGATTGGTGCCAAGATATACGATCCTCGATTGTATATCCATTATGGGCCAAGAGATATGAGACTCTTAACCAATCAAGAAGCTCATCGCTACCGTGCTATTTCGGATAAAAATTGGGTAATTTTATGATTTATTTGCTTTATTTTATTATTTTCTAAGGTTTTATTTTGCTTTATTTAAACTAACAAATTGATGTTTTTCCTATTTTTTTGAAGGAATCACTTATTCCCGTCGTTCATAAAGAGACCACAAACTTGCCCCCTTGGCATCCACGGTTGGCGCCCTATATAGAGAGGACCGGGTTGGGTATGTTGCTCCATTTCATGCGGATCGAAATCGACAACGATCTGCTTACGGCAATGGCGGAGCGATGGCGTCCCGAAACCCATACGTTCCACCTTCCGGAGGGAGAAATTATCATCACCCTCAAAGACGTGGCGATCCTCACCGGGCTGCCGATTACTGGAGATGCCATCATTGGGCCCACTACCAAACCCGAAGGAGGTTGGGGGTCGCTCATTCTTGCTGAGTTGGGATTTGACATGCGACCACCACACCAATTCAAGGACGGGGGCATCCACCGTTGAATGCGGGACAAGTTTCGGTCCCGTGGCTGGTAGCTCACATCCAGAATGAGGTGCAAATCAATGACGAGACTCCGGAAGATCAAGTGGAGCTCTATGCACGCATCTACCTCATTGGTCTGGTGGGTGGATTTCTGTTCCCCGACAAGTCAAACCGGTGGATTCAAGGCATATGGTTGCCATTGCTCACTGGTGACTGGCACACAATCGAGGAAAAGAGTTGGGGATCAGCCGTGTTAGCTGGCATATACCGGGAGCTGTGCACTTGCTCGAAGGTGGGAGCAAAACAAGCTGGTGCTGCGATGTTTATCCTACAGGTGTGGGTATGGGAGCATCTTCCAATGTTTCGCACCTCTAGACCCACGTCCATACCGGAGAGCCGATGGTGAGCTAAACTTTCTGCAAAATCCCCCTTACGGTGTCAAGTAAGTTTATTCCATACTTAGCTTAATTTAAAATTATTCCATGATTAGCTAGATTTCAATTGAATTTATTCCGTACTTAGCTTAATTTAAAATTATTCCATGATTAGCTAGATTTCAATTGAATTTATTCCGTACTTAGCTTAATTTAAAATTATTCCATGATTAGCTAGATTTCAATTGAATTTATTCCGTACTTTGCCTAATTTAAAATTATACCATGCTTAGCTAGATTTAAATTGAATTTAATCTGTACTTAGCCTAATTTCAATTTATTCCATGCTTTTACTTACAAGGTGGATAGGAGCAAATACGAATGACCATCAATCTGAGCATTCGTTACTGTTTTATCGTTCTGAGTCATATAAGCCTTGGTGGAATCAGGTAATCATGCTTTATCATATTTTAACAAGTTTCAATTTTTCAAGGTAAATGGTCGCTAATTGCATTATTTGAATGAATATAGGTTACTTGGGATCCATATCCACGTGAAGTGGTTGAACTGCATCATCTTAGAAACCCTCTGGATCACGAGACGTGGTTGTGCAAGGTGCCATTGATCTGTTGGCGCATCGTGGAGTGGCACCTACCCGATCGATCCTTGAGGCAATATCGAATGGAGCAACCAATTCCACAAACCCCGCCTCAGGGTTTCAGGGAGCTACATGCCATCGACCTCCGACACGCCTCAAAGAATTGGATCGTAAAGCATCAGTACTACATCAACATATGGGAGAATAGAAGGACATGGGTGGTCCAAGGGATGCCGGAGGCGAGACCGATGGGCTACCACGATGGGTACATGCAGTGGTATCGGAAGTTCACCAATCCAGTATGACATCTCCACTATGACAGAAATAGGCATCGCTTGAAGGCCCTTGTACACATTATTTATACTTTCTCCATGGTTGGTAGTTGCAATGCCCCATCTGGCCCCGTTGTCCATATGGAACGTCGACATGGCCAATTCTTGACCTTCAGCCCATACTGCTCCAGCTCGGTGAGTCTAATGGATCGCCTTCATCTTCTGCTCGTATTTTTTTGGCTGATGTGTAACCGCTGCAAGGTGAACAATATAGAAATGGTCAATACATGATAAACAAAAAATTATTAAACACATAGATAACTCGCATTAAAGGACATTAGTACCTGCATGCCACAATTGATTTTTTATGTCTTTCTTCTTTCCAAATTTGTGTTGGAAGTTGGCGAGCCAGTGTCGAATACACCAGCGCCATGTCCATCCCCACTCGTCAGGAAAACCACCCACGACATTCCTAATCCCGGCGTGTCTATCGGATATAATCGTAATACCCTCCCGCTGTGTCACGTGCTCGTGTAGTTGGTCAAAGAACCATGCCCAACTTAAGCTGTTCTCCCCTTCCACTTTTGCAAATGCAAGGGGGAAAATCCGCCTGTTTCCATCAACGCCAGTGGCAATGAGAAGAGTTCCTCTGTACTTCCCAGTAAGGAAGGTTCCATCAACCTAATTAAATATTAGGAAGTAATTAGTATGAAATTTACTTGGTCTGCAAGAATATAAACATTTCAAATAGTAAACACGTATTAAACAACATGAATAACCGGTATGTAGAACCCAAACCCGTCAATGCATGGTTTGAAAGCCCAAAAAATACGGTGAAACATCAACTTCTCCTGTACTCGAACTTGATCCTCAGTGTATACATTGTTGTATACTGGCACGAAAAAAGTCCCAGGGTTTGACACCTCCATTGCGGCCATAAGTCTAGGGAGTAAAGCATATGAATCCTCCCAATCACCATACACCTCAGCCATGGCTTTCTGCTTTCCATGCCATGCTTTTTGTACCTTATCGTGTAAGAATGTCGATCCTTCACCTCGACCATGATAGCTTTGACTTTGATATCTGGTTGTGCTTCGATAAGGTGTTTAATAGTTCTCCCAATTTTATTTGCTTTAAGTTTCGTGTGATCCTGGGAACGTATGGAAGAGGAGCAAGTGTGGTTGGTCTCGGCTTTTCGAATCACCCAGGCACCCTTTCTCTTCATATTTGCAGCCCGCAGTTGCCACGTACAACCCTTTGCATCATTCTTGCATATGACATGTAATTGTTTACTGTCAGAATATTTTACCTTCCACTCGAAGTTGCGCCTCTAGGCCTCTTTGGTAAAGGCATCCTGCACAGCGTCCTTCGATGAGAACGTCATACCCACCTCCAAATCGGCCGTCGGATTATACACTGGCATAGGGACAAAGTCGGGGGCATCATTCTGACTATGTAGAAATTGAGTTGGAACCTGTGTGTAGTATGGCGTGGGTGCCTCACAAAATGTCACCTCGTCGTCGTTATCATCAGTATCTTCCTCCTCGCTCACTGATCTCAAATCTTCCTCACTAACCTCGTCGCTTGAGTCAAATGGATAGCTCGGCCCAGAAGGATCAACAGGACCACCATCACCAACATTGTCTTCTCGCTCATGTGAAGTACGCCCTGCTCGAATGGTATTCTCGATTTCAGCCCACTCAGGCCCCCAAGCAGGCCATTGAACGCCATCGGCAGGTTGATCCTGTTGCGAGTATTCTTCCGACGGCACCCATCCTGCACTACTACCTCCACCATATTTGATTGAACTACCACCCTCTCCATAACGTCCTGTATAACCACCTCCTTCGTAGTTGCTCGAACTACCACCCCATCCGTACCCTCCTGCAAAACCATCATCATAAGAATACTGGTGAGAATGAGTTTCACCGACCGCCTCGGTCTCAACATACACCTCTGCAAGCCGCATCTCGTTATCGCTTAGGAACTCCAACATCATCGTAACCGCGTCATCATCGTTTATGACAACTTCTTGGTACACAACCCCGCCAGCACTCATGTCTGGATACCGGTAACTAATTTTGCCAAGTCTCGTCTGTACGCTCGTACAAACCCTGCATGCACAAATATCACGGAGTTCTTGAAAATTGAATCGCCACTCAATTTTCAGCATAGTGGATTCACCGTTCTCATAATCAATCCCTATGTCAGAGTTTGTCACCCTTCCATTCCACCGAATAATAAGCCGAAACTTCTTGAATTCACCCATATCTACAATTTACAATAAGTTAAACTATTAGTTTAAAGATAGTAAAATTAACCAAAATCATATTGTACGACTAATATTACTCCATCTCATAACTAACGTAACATAAATTCAACTAACTAACAACAGCATAAATTCAAAAATTAAGTACTACAATTGCTACGATAAGTAATTCATAATAACATAACAATATAACTACTAAAAACATCATTACGCTATAATACGAAAATTAAATCATACTATAACTACTAAAAATCCATCATTAACCTATAATACGAAAAATAAATCATACCGAAAATTCCCCGCCTGGGTATTATGCTCAGTTTTGGTTGCTGAAATTTGAAGAGGGGGGGAGTGGTTTTGTTTTTATAATTGCTGGTGGGCTGGTATTTATAGGAAAATCTGCCTAATGTTCACCGTTTTTGTCAAACACGGTGAACACCATCACCGCGTTTGTCTCAAACGGTGAACATTAGGTAGCTCATACCTAATTTTCACCTAACAGGGGTTGAAAACGTGACTAATACTCACCGTTTTAACCTAGAACGGTGAAGGTATTCACTGTTTTGCCCTAAAACGGTGATATATTCATCGTTTCCGACTAAAACAGTGATATCTTCACCGTTTTCATTTAAGGCGGTGATTGGTTCACCGTTTTAGAGAAAAACGGTGAATACTTCGGCGTTTTAATTTAAAACGGTGAATTATTCACCGTGCTTGTCAAATGCGGTGATAGTCTTCACGGCGTTTGTCAAAAAAGGTGAATACCAAACATTTGTAGTTTTGGAAAAAAAATTTATAACTTATGTATTTTGGGAATTTTTTTAAGAACATGTGTACTATGAGATTTTTCCCCTTACACTACAACATAAACCGCCTTTTGTGACGACTAAAAATGGTCGCTAAATGTTAAATTTTGGTCGCGAATCGTATGTTGTGACCAAAAAAATTTGATAGAAGCTTTGGTTATATTTGCCGCGTTAGGAAAACCATTTTGTTACCAATTTTTGATGTGGTCACAATATATCATGTTTTTGTGAGGAAAGTCCCAATTGGTCACATTTGTTTTTTATTTGCAACCAAGACAATTGGTAAGAAAACACTGTCAAAATAGTCACAAAAGAATACCGGATTGGTCACGAATAACATGAAAACCAATCAATTCATATATGATATATCATTTACCAACCAAATGATTTAAGTCACAAAAGATATTATTTAAAACCAAAAAATTTGGTTACAAAACTATTCTTCATAGCTAATGTAATTATCATTAAGTAACCAAAATTTTTGGTTATGAAACTCTTATCCTTACCAATATTTTATGGTCCCTAGATAATCCAAATATGAATAGTAATTTTGTTTGTATAAAGTATAAAATGTAACCAATCTATTTGTTCAAAAATAACTATTTTCATTGGTCATAAATATTATTTCCAACCAATGTTTTATGGTAACCATACGTTCTAAACGTAAGCATTTTTTGTTATAAAATGTTCTAAATATTATTACTAATTTGGTTACATATATATATTAGTTGAGAGGGCTACTGATTTGGTTATGATAGCATAATCGTAATGCAACTAATTTAGCCCATAATGGTCACATTTTATTTCCAAGCAATACCAACTTACATTAGTTCATAGCAGTACTAATTGATTAAAAAAATACAAAAATAGAAAAAATGAGAAACTAAAATCAGTCAAAGAAATCACTTTTGGCTTGAGAGATTCCTAACTGCTGCCGTTGACATGATCACCCAGCTCCTTTAAATTCTTCTGACCCCTGTTCGAAATAGCTGCACCATAGTACAAACTGAGTGAACAAAACAAGATCCATAACCATCAACTGTTGACTACCAAGTGGCATCTCAAGAAACCACAGCAACAACCTAGCAGTAGCTACCTGTTAATATGTCAAAGACTGAAGCAACTAATTGAGTAGGCTCAAGGGAAACAAACCAGTCAACAAAATAACCAATTGAACCTAAGGAGGGAAACCGAACCATAAATTTTCTTTCTCAACAAGACTGCTTACAATCAAAGCTCAAGGGAACAAACAACCAACCAAAACAACCAACCATTCAAAGCTCCAAGCCCTCAGTAAAAAAAAAAAAGAGCAAACTCCAAGCTAATAATTTCAACTAAGGAATCAAATTCAAACCAAAAAAACATCATCACCATAATGATGTTTTCTTTTTCCCTTCCTTTTTACATGGATTCTCTCAAGAGAAACAGTTCTTTCTTCTCACGCTTCCAAAACCCCACATTGGGTAAATCCTCGGAGGAGTAGTGACCATCTCGGAAGAACCATACCTCTTCCTTAAAGTTCAGGTCTTACTTCTAGTCTGAGGTGTAAAACTCAGATGCAGCAACATTTATTCCAATAACAACCTAATCGATGCTATTGAATTGATATTCAAAAACGATCGCTGACACACCAAAACACAACACCAATCTGCGACCAAGTGTAATCGCAGACCGGGAATGCAGTAACAGGCAAGTTATATTATCAACCCAGGGTCTAGATCTACTGCTTACTCAGTGATTTCTGTTATCTAGCCAACTAAAGTAAGTGATTGTTGTTTAAAAGCAAAAACAGAAATAAAGCAGGAAATTATTGGGTTTTCTCAAGCAGGAAAGAGTCACTCGGGAATGAATCCCCCTAGCTCCTTAGTTAGGTTTCAATTGTATTTCCCTGGGTTGATTTACTGTTGATTAGACTGCGGAAGATCCGACAGTAGCTTGGAATCTCTTAAGCTGACCAAGCCCTCTCAGTCTAACTACCCGGCAGACGACTAGTCTTCACCCGGATAGAAAGCTGAAGCAGTAAGAACAGAACTCCACTACTGGAATTGGATTCCAGTACAAAGCAGTAAACTGGCTAACTCTCGTATAGTCAATCTCCTACTATCGAATGATGAGACTCTAGCAACCTAATCAGATTCTATCTATCTCAGATTGCAGCAGGAATCAAGAAAAGTTGATCAGACTTCAATTGACTCAATAAACATGCATCATTCGATTAAAATCAAACAGTAATATCATCCCAAGTCATTACAATCAATCCCTAACACATAGAACTAGGGTTCTTCATCCCCAAGTGAGAGAGAGGTTCTACTCCATAGAGAGAGAGAGAGGAAAACAAGATACAAAGTAGTCATACTCATAAAGATGAGGAAAATCTGCTCTGGGATGATGATTTCCACTCCTATGACGATCTCCAAGCTTGATTCGATGAAACCCAGCTTCAAGATGGCTTCTAGGATGTGTTCTTCGTCCTTTCTCTCTCTAGGGCTCTGTTTTTGCTCAAAAAGTCCGCTTTTCTCTCTTGCAGCCCGGAATTGGGTTAAAACCAGGAAATCCCGACTCACACGGGCAGGGCCACACGACCGTGTGGCATACCCAGTTGCCCGTGTGAGTCAAAACGCTGCGTTCCACTTAATTCGATCTTCAGGCTTCCCACACGGCCAGGGTCGCACGGCCGTGTGTGACTTCCATCTGCCCGTGTTTGCTCTCGGCGAATGTCACACGGCCAGACCACTCCTTCACACGGCCGTGTGGATTATCAGGGCAGGTCGTGTTTGCTCTCGCACAATCTCACACGGCCAGAAATATGAGTTGCACGGCCGTGTGATTTGTGGGTGTGCCCGTGTGGCCTCCTTTTTGACTTGCCTCGCGCCCGATCTTCGTCCAATCGACCCCAAACTCGCTCCCAAGCCTCCATTCACGCACTAGGACCTGAAATATCACAAACAAGCACAACCTAGCGTGAAATCGGCCTAAAACACGAGAAATCACATCTCAAACGGTGTAAGAACAGGGGTAAAAACATGTGTAATTAACGGTCTATCAATTGCCCAAGAGGAGGCTATTAAATTGAGAGGCAAAGAGCAAACTTACTTGCCTGAATAACCAGCTTTGGCAATAGCAGTCTTAAGCAATTCAAGACCTTCCTTGTTTTTCATGAGATAACAAATTTTTCAATTACACATTAACCAACTAATCGCGAGAATGAAACTACATATAATCTGGAAACTCCAGTGAACAAGCTATGCCTGAATGTTAGGTGCAAAGCTACCCTTATCACCAACATTAGTTGCATCCTGACCGTACCTCTTCTTAATTATAGACTGCAAACACATAACATATCCCATCAATCATAATATAGCCAAATAAATAGAAGCCAAGATTCAGAAACTAAACACTCTTAAGCAATCGGTTCTGTGTGTTGGCAACAACAATACGCTTCAAATGAAAGAAGTAACAAAATTAGTAACTTAAACTATATAAAGGCAACGAAACTTGTAGAAAAATTGTCTACATTTTAACCAGCAAAATTAACCTACTATTTTCTCAAACCCCTAAATCAAACACACAACCATCAAGTTAAGTCTGGCAACTTGCTGCAAATTCTATTTCGAAAAATAATCAAACTCGAAATCATCGATACCATACCTTAGCTGTGTCACTGAACCAAGTCAATGAAATGGATATTTAATTGCAAAACTTCACCTGTAAGACCAATTTCAGAGGCAGAAAGTGCTTCCTCCAAATGCTTCTCATATTCATCATCTCCCAGAGGTCCATCAGTAAGTGGAACCTCCACTGTTGGAGTCACATTCAATTCGGCAGCTTGAGATTGAGATTAAACTATTAGCAAGCAAACAATTGTAAGTACCATTCTTCTCTAAAAGAGCTTCTGCTATCGATTTGGAAGATAAACCAAGCAACCAAACCAAGTTCAATCTTACAGTCACAAAATCTCGTTCAAATCATACCTTTCCTAGAATTATGTCATGTCTTGTTTCTCTTGTACTGCCTAGCATATGAATTAGCATACTCAGCTGCATGTTCCTGTCCAGCTCTGGGTGTTAGACTTCGGCTGGGATACTCAACCATGAGTTCAGAATACTATCCTCACTGATCATAGAAAACAAGTCTGCACATCATTCATGGTTTAGAACAACTGCAGCAGTAAAACATAAACACCCTAAAGCAGCAGCAGCCCACTCTGGTCCCAAATGATAAACAAAGTAAGAGCAGTCCTATCCATACAAAAAACCTGGAACCCGCAGACAACAACAAAATGCCCTAAAAATCTCAACCTACTACCTGCAGCTCTCTCATCATTATATATTAGCGAAAACACAAAATCATCTATTCACTCTAATTATACATGGACCAATGACAACTAATTGGATCTCTCGCGGTGGTGGAGGCCATAAGGTTAATTTCGGATATAAGACTTCGTCCTTATCCCTAAGGGGAAGCCAATTACAGAGGATACATACATACCTACGAAGACGTCCATACAATAATGACTCGCCGTATGACAAATCGATCCAGGCAAAGTAGAAACATGCATATGAAGACGATAAAGTGAAGTAATCATCGAATCTGAAGTATAATAACCCAAAAGGACATGTGATACAAGCCGCTCGCTGGAAACAAAGATCTAAACTCTAAGCAGAAGTATGACGAGAGGAATTAGAGTCTTCGCTCAGATTAGATCGAGTTTTGAAAAGCAGAAGGAGATACGATTCGCCGCTCAGATTCGAATTTCAACTACTGTACAATTCTAAGAGGAAATGGAGGTTTTGGAACAATGGCGTTACTAATTTGCAGGCAATGTCCTCCAGGAGCGAATGCGATGGCGTTACTCACCCACATTTGAATCTCCCAACTCTTGCAGGCGATGTCGATTCTCTCAGTCGTCGAGGAGAGAACAGAAAAGGGATGGTTTTAAAGAGATGAGTTTCCCAAACAGAGCGAATATAAAAGCGAATGTGTTTTTATACCAAAAAGAAAGGCGATGGGTTTCATTAAAAGAAACAGTACGGGAGAAAATATGACCAATTATATTTGGCCAGAAAAAATATTTTATTATTTTATGACCAATATTTTTAGTTCTGTTAAAGTTTGTTTTGGTCATAAAAATTCTTTTCTTATAAGTGACCATTTTAATATGTTTATGCGACCAAAGTACTAGTTACTTTAAAAAGTATTAAGGATGATAAACAAAATGTTTTAGTTAGAAAAAGAATTGAACATTCGGCTACTAATTTTTTTGGTTGTATAAATTTTAATTTGGTTATAAAAACTATTTTTCTAGTTAGTAACCAATGCATCAAATGTTTTATTACCAAAATATAATTGGTCATAAATAATTAATTTTTGCCGACCAAAAAAAATAGTTAAATGAAAATGATCACAAAAGGCTATATTTGTTGGAGTGTCAATGTTGAAAAAGAGGACTAGTTGATAAGTATAGCATCCTACGTACCAAATATATTATGTTTCATCAATTCCACCGTCGACAACTCGGCTTCACGAGCTCTGTATCAGTTCCGCGCGAAACTTACACTTCCCCCTCGCAACTTTGGATTTGTTCAGTTTGGACTCACCTGCATACAAATATGTTCAGAAAGAAGTCATTTTATCGGCCGTTCGAGTTTGTTTCTCATGCAACACTTTACAATAAATTATATATATTTGGTCAATGAATATTTTTTTTTTTAATTAGAAGTGGAATGGAGTGGATACAAAATGATCACTTTGATTCGTTTGGAACACGGGTGATGTGTACTCCCAAGCATTTCGTATTACGTACAGCTCTTGCAATATCAATCCAATTTTTTGTTGACATTAAGAGAGTTAGAGTTTTTGTACGTATAAAATCTTTATTGTGTTAAACTCTAGACAGTGTAAAATTCGAAGAAGTATAGAGAAAAGTAGGAAAGCTACATGCGAGATTTACAAGTGGTTTTCTTGTTAGATATAACAAGAATAGTCCACGGAAAACTTTACACTCTCGGAGTTCAATTTATTTCTTTCTCTCTTAGGTCCTTCGGTTGTTGCTAACGAAACATATATACAAAAGGAAAAACCCTAGCTCCTAACATAAGCAACGTTGTTTAATTATCATAAACGCTTATAAATCTTTGCACTTAGTACAAAACGGTAACAAACTTTTAATTTGTAACGATACGTTAATAAAAATTTGAACTTGTACGAAATTGTCACTTCTGTTAGGAAAGGTTATGACCATTTATGATAACTACCCAGCAACGTGGAGTAGGAAAACGGAAAATTACAAAATGGTCTCTGAAGAGTTAATCTAAACCCCTCCTAGCCCTTAGATCCGGACAATCAATCTAACGGTTGAAAAGTGGAAAGAGATTTTAATTAGTGACAGGGGTAATTTAGGTATTATGAAAAATTACGAAATATACAAACCAGTTTTACAGACACTACAAACCATACAAACATACAAACAACACAAACTAGAGCGACAAGATTTACAAAGAATACAAAACATACGAGCCATACAAACAATACAAACTACACCGACAAACAATACCATAAAAATAGGGGAAAAACAACCAAGTTGACTTTGAAGGCTCCATCCCTACATAGAGGGATTCCTCTCAAAGTCAACTCGGTAGTTTTTTAAACATACATACATTACAAACATGGTGGACAAAAATGACAAACTAGACCGGCAAACTATACAAAATAGGAAAAAAGCCGAGTTGACTTTGGACGCTCAATCTCTATATAGAGAAGTTTCATCCAAAGTCAATTAGAGTATTTTGTTAGACATAAAAAAACATTACAAAGGTGGTGTATAAAAATGATAAACATGATAGACAAAAATGATAAAATTTACAAAATTGACTTTGAAATCTCTCTCGTTGCACCTGGGCAAAAGCGAAAGGAATAGGAATTAAAGGCAAAAATTCCCCAGCAAAAGGAACAAAAGTGACCGGCGGGGGATTATTCCCGGCACCGACCGAAGGAAAATTCGTGCAGCACCTAGGGGTGTTCAAACGGTGTGGTTACCATGGTAACTGTTTTAACCAGTACTACTTGGATAATTTGATTTGGTTAATTTGGATAATTGGTTGGGTTTGGCTAAAGTTTTTACCTTGTTTGGTTTAGGTGGTTTGGTTTGGTTTCAGACACTCCTAACCAGCCAAACCAAATTAACCAGATAAATAATTAGTCATATATCTAATATATACACATACTTAATACTTTGAATAACCACTCAAGAGTTAAACGTTCATTCTTTTAGACTCATAAAATATAAAGCTTGATATTTTTCCTATAATGTATATTTGTATATGTAGAGTGTAGACCACAACAAATGAACGTCTAATTTAGATAAATCTTATACATTATATTGTATGAAAACTTGAAAACAATGTCCTTTTCGGCCTATGAAAATTGCTAAAAGACTGAGTCAATTCAAACAAGCATAACAATTCATTAACCCATACCATTGTGATACATTTTTGTTTGGTGAATACTTCAAACAAGCATAAGATAATTGTCTTAGTTGTACGTATTTATGTTAAGGGTCAACTATAACTATGTGTCGATTGTTATGTTTTATTCATTATATAAATTGTGAATTGATAAATTAACTGAAATATTTCTCACTTAATGATAATATAATTTTATAATGGTTAATCTGGTTAACCAATTAACCAAACCGATTAAACTTTAATTTGGTTAATTTGGTTGTTGTATTAGTTTGGACGGTTTAGTTATGATAATGTATTTCATGGTTAATGAAATTTAGCCTTATTTGGTTTGGTAATATAAGATACCACCCCCATATCAGGTTGGTATGGGGTGGTATGTTTTGGTCCTGTATTTTTTACCCACAAACTTGTAGATCCAATAGATTATGATGAACTCGTTCTTTCTGTGCAAATATTTTAAAAAACGGCTTCAAAACAAAAAAGATACCATATGATATGGAGTTTGTAACTAGAGATATGAAAAATAAAAATCTCAAAAAATATTGAAAATGGATCTCATTTTGTAGAGCATAACGAACTCATTCCATCTGTGAAAAAAAAATTTGAAATCCAATTTAGGACGAAGAAGAGCCAATTAATAAAAGTAGGAGAAATAAAGTGTTTTTATATTCCCAACCCTTAGTTCTGAATTTTATGGGTACACTCAAAACTAAGGGCCTAGATTTTGTTACTCATATGGGTGAGTAACGAAGAGTTACTCACCTGATCTTAGACCGCCTAGATGGGTCCATCATATTTTATTTTTTATTTGCTAAATAAATATTATAAATACTAAATTGTCATTAATTAAATTAGATTAATTGTAGCCGTTGGATTTTAATGACTTCGTCATGTGACTAAGGCCCCTTAGGTCACTTGATCTTACCCCTGAATTTAGGAATCACTACAATTAGACTTCTCAACACAAAGATAACACTTTAGGGCTTTGGCGTGTTGTTTACAAAATTTGGTATGCAATACATTAGAAAAGCATATTCCATTACCATAGGTATTTGTCACCAAGTACAAACTTAGGTCACTTATAAACTTGAATCTCTTATTTCACCTTTTACTAGAACTAGTCCAAGCATGGTCCCTCCGGAGACATCCGATAAAATTGCAACAAGCATACGGTGCTACTATTTTGCAGCAAAATCTGGCCGCTGCCTGGTCACTCCTCTCGTTCCATTTCTTCTCTTCCCCCTACCTCGTCTGATTCCTTAAGCTACCTTCGCAATTGTTTCTTCTCTCTTTATCTCTTTGAATTGCTTGTTTTAGCTGTTAGCTTTTGTTCCAGTCATGCAATTCCACCACCTTTCTGTTGCAATAAATCTCTTTGTCAACTTCTTCCCATCGATCTTGCAAATTTTATTTTCAGTTTGGCGGTTCTTGGTCAGTATTCATAGGTTTGTTAAACAATCAAATCTGCGTATAGAATAATAGAGACATACACACAAGATTTAACGTGGTTCGGCCTTTCATAAAGGCTTTACTTCATGGCGGTTAACGTTCCTTGTGTTTCTTACTATTCAATTCGGCCATAAACCCTAAATCGATGATATATAGCAAGCCATGCATAGCCCTAACCACAAGGTGTATGCATCATATTCGTCCAGTCATCATATTTTTTCATATATACAATTTAGTGCCTCATCACAACTATATTTACAAATTTCACTTCAATACACCCCCTCAAACTCATGGCCGCTTGTCTGTCGTTAGGTACTACAGTTGAAGCCACCCATCTGACACTAACTATAAATGTAAGGAACATGAACCTTAATGTGGTTGCTACGCTCATGAATTACAGGATTCACAACAATCTGCATAGCACTAATATTATCGGCAAACATTCGAACAAGAAGCTCATAGTGAACCTGTAACTCATCAAGCAATCTATGTAGCCAGACCAGCTCAGAACTAACATCGGACATCGACCTATAATCAGCCTCAGTGGAGGCCTTTGCAACTCGATCCTACTTCTTGCATGGCCAAGAGATAATCGAAGACCCTAACGGAACACACCATCCAAAGGTCGACCGCCGAGTATCCTGACATCCGGCATAATCCACATTGACAAATGCCTTCAAAAAAGTAGAGCCAGTACTAGAGAATCCTATGTACATCATCCATATGTTGAGTTCACGGAGAGGACATAAACTGACTAACAATCTGAACTGCATAAGATAAGTCAGGATGAGTTGATGTTAGGTATATAAGGCTCCCAATAATGCTCCTATATCGAGTACCTTCGGAAGTAGGGATGGCAATTGGGCGGGTTTGGGGCGGGTTTGCTTAAACCATCCTCATACCCATCGTCAAATACCCAAACCCATACCCGCCCCATACCCATGCGGGGAATGTTTTGCAAACCCATCCCCATACCCGTGGGTTTCGGGTACCCATGGGTAATACCCATTCACGTACATCCAACATTATTATACCTAAAACTTACAAGAAAAGTTCTAATTATAACTCTAAACGAACATATTATATCATGAAGTCAACAAAACACGGTCATTTTTTTAATATGGTTCAAAGATTATGATCCTAAAATATCCATTAATACATAATATAGAGTATAATATTTTTCAAATTATTATGTTCTAACTCTGATACATCTACTAAATAATAATTAACTAACATAATCTTGTTGACAAGGGGGAAAGTGAAAGAGTGAAATGAGAATTGAGAGAAATGAATTAGATTTTGATTAACGTGGTCACTCAATTGCATTTCTACTATTTATTTTCTCAAGTTATCTTCATCATCATTGATAGATTATAATTTGATGCACATATTTTTTTATATATGAAGAAATTATCTTGGTGGGGCGGGTATGGGGATGGGTATGGGGCGGGGGAGGCTAAAACCATACCCGCCCCATACCCATCAAACTTTTTGCGGGTTTTACCCATACCCGCCCCATACCCGGTCAAAGCGGGGATTCCCCGCATTGACTGGGTCGGGGGCGGTCGGATACCCGCGGCCATGAGTTTGATTGCCATCCCTATTCGGAAGACGACAATGGACTCCCACTCATAGTCGACAGCTTGAGTTATTGCTCCATATGGGTAGATGCAGGATTAACGTCAGCAAACTGAGCATCCTACAGCAAATCCAATATGTATTTATGCTGACAGACGAATAGCCCATGTGACAAAAGCTGAATTTTCAAGCCAAGGAAATATAATAAATTGCCCAACTCTTTCAGCTTGAAAGAATTATGTAAAACCTGAGTAAGCTTCCGAATATCATCTTGATCACTGCCCATGACTATAGGTGTCAAAACATAATCCGCCTCGACTAACCCAATCCGACTAACCCGATTCGCAACGCGATCGCAACCCGAATTGACTAAAAATTAATAACCCGCAACTCGCCCGACCCGCAACCCGATTAACCTGTAACCCAAATAACCCGCAACCCAATTAACCCAAACCCGATTGACCCACAACCCGATTAAACCCGTAACTCGATTGGCCCGAACCTGACTAACCCGTAACCCGCCAAATTGACCCCAATAATTACTATATTATATATTATATAAAATTTCAAAATTAAGTTTGTTTGTTGTAAGACTAAGTAAAACTATTTTTCATTTTATAAAGGAAAGTGAAAAAAATGATATTGAGTTGAAATTATGTATTTTTAATAAAAGAAAGAGATGAGGGAGAGTTTTGATACTTTGGTTTATAGGAAGAGAAAGAAGTGGAAAATTTTGGTGTTTTCAACTTTTTGGAGATAAAAGAAGAGGGAAATTTGGTGCTTAAATTTTTGGGAAAATAAATAAGGGGGAGTTTTAGTGTTGTGGTTTATAGAAAGAGAAAAAGTGGGAAATATTGGTGTTTTCAACTTTTTGAAGAAAAAAGAAGAGGGAAATTTGGTGATTCAAGTTTTGAAAAAAAAAAGAAGGGGGGATTTTGATGCCTTTGCGGTTGATGAACCGGCTTGGCCCCTTCCTCCAAGAGGATCTTGTTCGAGCAAAAGGTTGGTCCGATCCCTCAGATATCTGCGATCTTCCATGTGATTTCCCTCTCATGACGCCACAAGACCTCAATCAACTCAGTATTTAGTTCTTGTGTAAGATTGGAGTTGATAATGACTGGGAGCTTGACTTCCCTGAGAAAGGCATACTCAAGATGGGGAGGGAAAGGCTTCAACTCCAACTCGGGCGGTGCCTCCAAGGAGGTTAGGCATTGGGGGCAAGGCTTCCAACACCTGATCTTGCAGAAGTTGGTCTTCCTCCTCCGGAGATTTCGAGATGTTCATCCTTACCAAACAACACTCTTTAGAAGGGTAAGAAGGGTAGGCACCCGCGGATGCGAGTGCCTCCATGAAATCAGAAACCTCATCACAATAATCAAAATCATCATGATGGTGAGAAAACTTCATGCTCTCATCAATAGAGAAGGTATACCCATGATGAGGGGAACATCGACATTGTTATCAATGTCTAGGATGACGAAATCGACCGGATAAAAGAGAGGCCCTACCTTAATAAGTAAGTCCTCAGCCACACCCTTAGGCTGCACAATGGATCTCTCCGCCAACTAAATGTTCATCCTGATAGTTCTACGTTCACCTAGGTATAACTTTTGAAACAACCTATAAGGCATCACATTTATACTTGCTCCTAGGTCTGCCAAGGATTTTCCTATGCACGTGTTGTCAATAAAACAAGGATAGTGAAACTCCCTAGATCTTTGCCCTTTGTGGGCGGGTGGTTCAGCAGGATGGCTGTGCATTCTTCATTCAGGGTCATCGTAGCCATCCCTTCCAGCTTCTTCTTATTGGTGAAGAGGTCTTTCAAGTACTTTGCGTACTTGGACATCTGAGTGAGGGCCTCCTTGAAAGGGATGTTGAGGTACAACTAGTTCATCAGCTCCATGAAGAGGGCAAACTCTGCCGCCATGCAGTCATTGCGGAGTCAAGAAGGATAGGGAAAAGCTGGAGTTTCTTTTTCCTTCCTCTGCTCCGGTTGAGGAGCCGAATCGACCTTCTCCCCTCCTTTTGCATTCGTGCCCCCTTGTTGTTCGGGGAAAATACCAGCCCCATTTGCTTCTTCTTTGGAGGTAGCTCCTTTGCTTCTCTCCCACTTCGAAGAGTAACCGCCCCTACTCCCAGTTCATCGAATTGCTTCTAGGTTAGAGATGCATGCGAGATAATCCCCACACTAGTGGTCAAGGTCGTCAAGAGTGATTGATGACTTTGCAACCCACCCTCTATGGTTGAGAATTTCTCTATCGCTTCCCCTATGAACCTCTCAATTTTTTCAAACTTCTTAGAGCTTGCGTCAAGAAAGGTGGTCACTAGCTCCTCCAAACAAGACATCCAGTCAACATGTACAGGGGAGATAGAGTTCAACCGCTCATATTGGGTCGTTTCCTCACTCATTATTTGGCACTCGGCCTCCTCATAGCCCGAAGTTGCACTCCAATCGTATGGCACTAATGGCTCCTTCACTTCCTTCTTGTCCTCAAGGATCACTTCAATCAACTTGTCAAGCTTAGCTTCAAGTGGAGCACTTGCTCCCACACTTCACACTACTCTTTCGGTGCTTCTCTTACCACTCCTCGTCAAGCCCCAACCATATCCTTTAAGAGCCATATCTTTGAGCAACTCAATCACTTGAGGTGGGGTCATGTTCATCAACCTCCCTAGGCAAAGGGAGACGATAAGGATCTTGTCATCTTGAATGAGATCACCATAGAATGTCTCTATCCGAAATTGCTCTTCGAACCCATGGTGAGGGCATTAGAGGAAGTAGTAAGAGAATCTTTCCCATGCATCCCTAAATGTCTCATCCTCCTCTTGCTCAAAGTGACTGATCTTCTTCCTCCACTCGGCCATCTCGAAAGGAGGACAATATCGGGTCATAAATTTGTTAAGCAAATCGTCTCCTGAGGTAATTTAGCGAGTCGGGCGGTTGTTGAGCCATCGGAGTGTTTTCCCCTCAAGAGAGTAGGGGAATAGCCTCAGTTGCAGTGCCACCGCAGAGACGCCATTTATCTTCAAACTTCCCACAAGCTCAAGGAACCTCTAAACATGCTCCCTCGATGATTCATTGGTGAGCCCATGAAACAAGCGTTATTTTGAATCATCGTGACTAGGGCGAGCTTGATTTAAAAGTTGTTGGCGGCCACGGGTGTATGTAAAATGGGAGATTATATATCCGCCGCCTGCGTGGAGCTATGTAATAGCCCATAGTCATTGGTTCTTCCTCAGCTCTCGCCTCCGCATTTGGATTCGGAGGTGGATTAGTAGTTTGTGGTTGATTCGCCGCCATTTCAACTTCACCTTCTACTTCAACTCTTCTAATTCCGGGACCAAATTGATGTCCCCTCTCTTCAATTATCCTTCTTGCTTACGCTAACTCCCTCTTACGAGCTAAGAGTCGGAGAGTCCAGTTGATGTTCTCGTCTAGTGGTGTTAAAGGTGTCGGATTGCTCCGAGTCATACACCTCCTTGCACACACTTAAAAGAACAACACGTCTAGCACAAGCAACACTTCACACAATCAAAACCCAAAGTAAAAGCTATATTAACACCAAACAATCTTATCAAAATAATGGACCAATGATCTCCGGCAATGGCGGCAAAAACTTTACTCAACCCAACTATCTCAATAAAATCCCATCTAAGGTCAAAGTATAAACCTTAAATGGGTGCAATATATGGCAAGTATGCTTAAATATCGATCCGGTCCGGCCCATGTACCCCTACTTCGATTGTTTAAAACATTATCTAGTGGATTGTTATTTTTCGAAAACCACTACAATCTACTATTGAAAAGCAAGACTCGAAAAGTAAAGTGGTGGAAAACTCTTGGTGAGAAGCTTAACTCGGGTGTTGTTTTCCCCTAACCAACTACCATGAACCGTGAGATTGAATTAATCGGTATGGGATAATACGATTGTGAGCCACTAGGAGAGACAACAGTGGTTGTAAACCACCTCTCAATTGCTAGGCCAAGGAAAGCATTATAGGCTACAAATGTAGCCCTATTGGTCCAAGAAATTAGGGTTGCCTTAACTTCTCCCTCAAACCAGGGTTTGGAGCGGCCAAAGCACAATTAACCTAAACACTCAATTTGAGTTTCGAGATTTGCCCTACATTAACCTAGTTAGGAGGCATAGAATACCTAGGAAACCCAACTCAATTAGAGTCTCTTTAGAAAAGGGGATTTCCCTTTAAGCAAGTTTAGAATAGCATAATAGATTGCAAGGCACAGACAATGCAAAATCACCTTGAAAAATACCTCAAATCTCAAATTAAACATCACCCACACACAATCATTCAATCCATAGAAGTAGCTATATGGTATAAGTTAGGGTTCTATAACACCCAAGTGAATAGGAGACTACTCCATGCTAGAAGAAGGAAAAACACAAAGGAAAGAGGAAAACCCATCATGGATGATGCCTCAATCCTCTTTTGTGCTTGTAGAGATGTTCCATTGAAGAGGAACTTCCCAATTCTTCACTTGGAGCAAATCCTAGCCTCTTCTCCCTCTTGGTTCGTGACTTTCTCTTTCTAGGGTTTCAAGAAGAAGAAGAAGCTTTCTCTCGATTTGGGCTCCCATTTCTTCTTCCTTTCAGCTCTCAATTTATGCTTAAATCGCGCCCAGTTCACGGTCCTAGTTCACGCCCGGGAACATCAGGCTGCGACTGTGAACTTTGATCGAAACGCGCCGCTTCACTAATGGGATTCACAGTTCATGGCCCCAGTTCACGGTCTTAGCGATCGTGAACTGCCTCGACGTCAGTAACCTCTAAAACCGCTCTGGACGCTACGCGGTTCACGGTTTGTGGTTACACTTCACGGTCCTGGCGACCATGAAGTCCAACTTTTGACCGTGAACTGCGAATGAAAACTCCTATTTGCCCGGCCTTTCTTCCTTTTCTTCCAACTTCCGACTCCGGGGTTGGTTTCATCTGTTAGACTCCGAAACACATTGAAACACAAGAAACCTAGTGTTAAACCACCCTTTTTGGAGCTCAATTGCTACAAACGTAAAAGAGAAACGGGGTTAAAAATTGTACTTTATGCCCGAATCACCTTCCCTCTGCGAAAGCCTCTTGCAACTACCTGAGCTTTAAATTTAATGCCCTCTACAGAAGTGATTCCTTCCTTATTCTTGTAGATCCACTTGTTTGTAACAATCTTCCTTCCCTGTGGATGTTTGACCAACTCCCAAGTCTGATTCCTATCATGGGATTCCATCTCGTCCGTCATTGCAGTGAGCCACTGCGTGGCTTCACTACATGAAACTGCTTCTCTGTAGGGCTTTGGTTCACCCGCATCCGCCTCTTTAGCAACCTGAAAAGCGTAACCCACCATGTCCTCGAAGACATACCTCTGTGGAGGTACTCCCGCAGTCGCTCTCTTCGGTCTACCAGAAGCTATAGACTGTAGTGTTGGATAAGTAGATCTGGTTGTTGTCTGCGCTCAATCAGTTGACTTTGAACATCTAGACAACGATTCGGTGGACATTGTTGTTGGGGGGGGGGGGGAGTGAGTCGATGATTCAATTCCATCCACACCATATTGCGGACAATTTCTCCCCCTAGCTCATGCTCGATCCTGAGCAAACCACGAATTCATCGGAGATAATCACCGCTACCGAAAACAAAAATTCAGAGAGTTTCTTTCCATACCCTTCGTAAGGCAACATGTGCGATGGCGCTGGAGATGGCAGAGAAGAAGATTGTCGCTAGGAGAGGAAAATCTACCGCTTTTTCCTGGGAGGGATAGAGACAGAGATCACACTACGTTGCAACAACGAATAATTTAGATTTTCAATTTTTTTTTGTTATCTTTTAGGTTTCTTACATTTTTACACATTAATGAAATTTGTTGTCACTATAAGTCTATAACAACACTATAAATGTTGTTATTCTATTCATAAATCGAGTCGGGTCATCTACATCTACTCTACACAATATATTATGCACTTCACTCTATGTCATTGTTGCCACTTTGCACTTTGATTGGTTCTCCTTATTTGGAGGAAGGGCAACTTTGACAATTTTTCAAACACTCAAGGGTCACTCATTATTATTGGACTTTTGGTTTTCATTTTAGTAAATGGGATTAGGATTAAGGAAAAAGAAGATTTGTTTTAAGGTAAATGCTACATAATAATTATTTTGAATTTTGCTCTGTGTAGATTTATTTTGTGTGGTTAAGGAAAAAACAGCGGCTATCTAAAGTTGTTTAACTCCTAAATGAGATAATGCTTGCAAATTGGATTTTGAGATGATAAAGATGATATATCGTTGTGGCGTGGATGTTTGGGAAGAGGTTCCTTCGGAATAGGTTTTTTCGCATTAGGATTTTATGTTAAACAGATAAACCAAGCATCAACCTTCAAAAGTTTTAGAATCTTAATTTCACAGTGATTTCGGCAAAAATGAAGATGAAGAAAGACGGGCAATCTTGGCAAAATACAACCAATTTATATTATTTTAAATTCTTTTAATTTTCAAATTAGCATGTCTAATTTTCACATTAAATTTTGAAAGGTAAGATCGCATGTTTAGTCGTAGGTTAACAATAATTCGATCCATATCGTACCGACTCGATATTTGTGTCGAAATAGATCAAACAAAAACAAATCAATTTTTTTACTCTATGTAATTGCTTAAAGTCGAGATAGTTTTTATTAGAAAATTATTAAACGTAAAATATGGTCCATTGGAATAACTTAAATGCTTCTTCAACCTAACTACGTTGTTATTTACATCTGAATAGTTCCATTAACGATTAAAAAATAGTTGTATAATGATAAACCATTAATCATGAGTCATTGAAATTTTTCATCCGACAACTGCTTCGCTTTTGAAAATATAGGACATAGTCAATAAAATATTTAAAAATATGAGCATATTGTTAAAGGTTAAATTTGAATTATGATAACTAAAGTTCAAATCATTGAATAACTTAAAAGGGTAATTTCAAGTCAAAATATTCTTTTGCTAATATTTTTTATTTTTGTCTCTTTCAAAAATATAAATTTAATACATCTATACTAATATTTTTGGATTTTCTTTACATAATTGTCCAAATAATCTATTTCCATATCACATTTTTTTCTCCTCGAGAAACTATTTAAATGTAATACATCTATAGTAATATTATGTACATAATTTACTTTTTAATTCAATAGATGACAATCAACTATATTTAAATTAAATTAGTAATAAAATTTTCAAAGCTTCATTTGCAAGGTAATTATTCACATATAACGAAGATAAAAAAGTTTTGTTGATTTTTTTTTGATTCCGTGATGTTTAATATCTCAAGGCATGAATATAGATTTCAGATAGTTTTTCATTTTATTCGTTGTCTAACTTAAACTTTTTATAGTTAAGCATAAAATGAAATACAAATTCAATAAAATTATAAAGTTAACGGGCACTAAAAACATAAACTATCAAAGTACTCATTTGTACCACCAGTGCACAATACTAAAAATTGAACCACCTACGTTTAACTAAAAAAAATACCCAAATGACCACAAACCGGCCAACGGGCCGGATATAACACTAGTGCACAGTATAACCAACCTAGAACTTAGTTGTTAATTTGTTTTTTTTTTACAATTAGTTTTGAATATGTTGAATAGCCTTTTTTGTGCAAATCTATTTAATAAATAAACCATAAGCACGAACACGACTATTCTTAATTCTGGGCCCAGGGTTATTCACCACTGCATAACTGGTTCACTGTGTTTATATCAATCTTATGCCTAAAATTTTATGACTTTTTTAGTTTCTTATTTTTCATAATCAGCTTGTATAATCTTTATTTTGATTCAGTGTTTAGAAAAATTTCACTGGCAAAAACCCCAAAATTTGATTTTGTTTTGTATTTAATATTTTCTTCCTTTGACAATTTGTTTCCAGCGAGGAAATTTCTGTTTGAAATTAATGGATGGATCCTTGATTTATATTTTGGACAACGATTATATAGAAACGGTTGCCAAAACTTAATTTTGTTTTAAAGTAGAGTGATGACAGGCGGATTAAAGCTTTATAACGAAACCACAGGACACCTATTGATTCATAGTATTTAATCATGTAGTATAATATTCAGAATGATAAGGGAATTACACAGTAATCTGCGACAGTTATAATTGCCATAAGTATCTTTTTTATAAAGTACATGATGTATATAAAGCTTCCATTTGAACCAACCGGAAATTAAGCAAATTTAAACTATAATCATATAGCAAGGTACAAGCTATAGCTAGCTATACCAACATCTTGCTAAAGGATAGATGCCCACATCCCTCTCCAATCCATCGTACCATCCCACACCGGTCCCTTCGTTCACAGCATGCGACGGTGGTGCCCTTCAAAAATTGATCGAACATTTATTTATTAAAATCAGTACCTGAATGTTATATATATAGTTAGGGAAAGTTTGGGAAATTTTAATTTTTTTTCTATAAATAATATTTTAATGTTTACCATGGTGGTCATCACCGTGGTGGCTGCCGTGGTGGTAGCCATAATAACCCCATCCACTCCGGCGACCCCACCCACGGCTACCCCATCTGGCGACTTCAGGGTTTGGCCTACCGGCGGCGGCGGTGGCGGGATTGGCAGCCATGACAATGAATGCCGCAACCAAAAGCCATGCGAAGACAATCAACAGACCTTGTGTCTTCACCATGATGGTTAATTAATTAACCTGTTGTTTGTTTACGGCCTTCTCCAACACACGTCTGAAGTTGTCGCTTGCTAAGCTTTGGTGGATGGAGTGGGATGGGGGTGAGGGAAAGTGTACTCATTGGCCTCTTATTTATAGGTTGAGGAATATGCAGCATTGATTGGTTGATGGAAATTGGGCTGATTCTAGCGATTGGCAGAACTGAAATAATATATTTTATCAAGTGATTTGGTACTGAGGCAATTCATTTGAGGGGGGGAAAAACAATAGGGAGATTCCCACCTTGGTGGGTTTCTTCATATAAATTCCTTACACTGTCCCCACATTAAATATTCAGTCATTGATTTCTATATGTCGCGTCAGAGTTTCGGAAAAATTCTGCAACTAATTGGCTTAGGATAGGGTGCATACTATTTTATGAGTCTCTTTGTTCTCCTCTCCTTTAGATAATTGGTGGTTTTTTTTTATGCTGCTATCTGTGTTTTGTCACAGCATAGTTGACCATTTGTATTAGGCTTTTGCCTCCCTTCCATCAATAATATAAAAAAAAACTAATACTCATATATGAAACCTTAGTTTTGAGTGGGGTTAGAAAGGCCTAGATCTAAAGGGTGAGAATTAATGTATTTTTATATTTCATAATTTTCTTATTTGATTCTTATTTTCTTCGTTCTGACTTTAATTTCAATTTTTTTTAATAGATAGAATGAGTTCGTTGTGATCTAGAAATGATATCCATTTTCAATATATTTCAAGAAAACAATTTCATATACCATGCACCTCTATTTTTAACTCAATTTTTAAAAAACTACGCACGGAAAGAACGAGTTCATCGTGATCTATTGGTTCTTTAAATTTCGGGAAAAACAAATACAAATATACAATACCAAAATATACTGCTCCATACCACCCTGGTATAGGGGTGGTAATTGGATGTAAACAATGATGAATGTGGTAAATGACAGTTCGTGTATTTCTACTATCATGTATTCAACCATTCTACACTATGAAATATTCATATGAACATGATACACTTCATACCACGTGGGATGATCTTATATAATACCAAACATTACCACCATATAATGAACATACCAATATATTTTCAAATTTATAGACACATATTACAAAATCCATAATAAAGCATGCTAATGAAGTAGAACATGAAGTTCTCTCGTGTGGTTGCGTCTTTCGTGATCAGACTAATTTTGCTACTTTGATTCTTTAGTAGTTAATGTTACTTAAGATGTCGTTGGTTAAACGCAAACGAAAGTTATTGGGCATAGTATCATGTCCATGTGCATATTAGGTTTTACCCTTAATGAGTAGTGATTTAAGTTAGATTAGTAACTAAGGGGCCATTTGGATGGGTTAATGACTTAATGTGGTATTTGTAGAGTCAAATAACTCATTTATTGTTCATGTGATATTTCAGTGGTAATTGAATTAAAGTATCTCGTTTGGCATAACCATGCAAATGTAGTATTTGACATGTGGTATTTGGTAAAAGCAGAGTTATTTCAAATAACTCGTTTTGATTTATTTGTTAATAACTCACTGTCCAAATAACTCATTTCAGTAAAACGCTGTCAAATGAGTTATTTTTGTCCAAATAACTCACAAATAACTTATACCAATACTCTATCGAAACGACCCATAACATTTCTTGGAAAGCCAGTTACCAACCCCCAAGGATTGCAATGTCCAAAATATTATTCATAGCTAATGCCTAGGGGTGGAAGTTTGGTATCAGTATTTGGGATACACCAAATACCACACTAGAACTATCATTATTTAGTATTATCAAATAATTAGTTAATTATTTGGGTTTATGATTGAGACAGATTTTGTATCATGGTTCCCCCTTAACCAAAATTTATAATTAACTATGTGATTGTAAAAAATTGCTTGTTTATATTAACTTGTGTTTATGCTCTGATGAAATATTATAGAATAAGAATTGCTTACTTGTATGGATGGATGATTAATTTGAAACTAAATTGAGGTTTAGACGATTATGTGTGATTTAATAATATTAAAGTATAAATTTAATTCATTGTACATAAATACTCCAATATATATTATACACAATTAGAAAGCTTCTAATATACGTTATGTTGACCTTATTATTATTTTTATATTTGATAATTAAATATGACGTGATTTAATTTAGTATTTATTATATATAAAAATATAGAGAAATATTTCATATTGAAATTGATTTTGGTCATTATTTAGTATTTGGGATACGAGTAAACCGATTTCTCCTATTAATCAGCAGTTACATGTAAAACTTGCAACTAAGTAACAGTTAGTTAGTCATAAATTTTGAATTTGCGCAACAATCATAGAATATGTGCACACTAAGATAACCTCTTACAAATTGAGAAATGAGAAACTTTCCTAATCTATAGCAAAAAAATGGGGTAGAAGAAAAAATCTATTTAACTTAAGTCATAGCGAAAGTGGAAATTTGTCTAATCTACGTAAGAAAAAACATTAAAAAAACACTTTTAAGATAAGTTCTAACAAGTCCTATGGTGCAACGTTCCACACTCCACAAGAACCCTTAAGCAACTACTTGCCTTTTATATATATAATATATATATGGAAGAAGAAAGAAAATAAACCCATTTAAGTTAAGTCCTAAGTCCTAACAAATCCTATGGAGCACCCTACCACACCCCACCAGACCCATTAAGCAACTACTTTCCCTTTATACCTATTATCTAGGGTTAATAGCAATTTATTCCCCTCTACTATTGCAAGTTAACAATTATGCTTCTCTATTATTGTTTTGCACAAATATGCCCTTCTACTATCAAAACATAACGAATATACCTTTTTGCTAAAACTTCTATTAATTAACTGTTAAATGAGATTGAAAATGATTACATTGCCGGTGAATATTGGCAAGAGGAGGAGAGGGATGGCATTGAAGGGGAAGAGCTGAAGAGGTATGGCGGCGAGTGCTGCAACTACTGTTCCGTGGGAAATCGAGCTTTGGCGATGAATTGGTTTTTTTTTAAGTTGTTACTGATCGATGACCTAGGAAACCTGATTCCCCTCCAATTATATGAGAATTTGGTGCGCCGGAGGGATATATGAGTGTCGGCAGTGGGTTGAATATATTGAGAAGGGGAAAGCAATTGTTCGTGAGGAAAGAAAGTTACTTTAAAAATTAAATTAAAAGCTTTTTTATTTATTTATGTAAAAAGTAATAAAAAAATATAGCAGAGGGTAATATAGTCATTTCCTACCTCACTTAACGGTGCATAAACATAATTTTTAACATAAGGGTATATTTGTTACGTTTTGATAATAAAAGGGCATGTTTGTCCAAAAATATTATAGAAGGGTAATATAGTCCTTACTTACTAGATGATTGTTAAATCCACGTAAAGTTGGCAGTAGTATTGGATCTCCTTTCTTTTGGATTTATACAATTCCCTTATTTTTCGAAAATGCCGTCTGAAGTGGTATTATTCCATGGAATATGTCCTGCTCCGGCAGGCAAACAAAAACAAAGAAAATTGCAGTTCGTGCTCCCTGGTGTGCTCGGCTTTGGTCATCTCATCTCAACAGTCTACATACGGCAAGCGGTCAAACTCTCCAATTTAACTCGAGCACAGAGATAATTAATTATTATCAATAATGGGAGAGATCAATGATGACTTATATCTTATCTTAAATAAAATTTATGATACGACATACCATGAGTAAAAAAAATGCTATTTTGAACTCGAATTAACCATATTTTTGGGCATGATATTATACTTTATCTCTTGATGAGTGAATTCTATGTCTTAGTTATCTACATCATAGAATCTAACCCCTAAGATTTTGCATGTAATTTGTTGCATATATTTCGACGAATCATAACAGTCAATTTTCCTTTTCTAAGTAATTTGATCTTAGTATATGAGATTTATAGAATTAAGACCTATATTTTCATCTTTAAGGGTTTGGGAACAATACCATGTCCTAAACTCCGGTTAGTTCAAGGTCTAGACATCATTTTCTTACTTAAGGTATGTCATAACTTTGATTTTTTCGAAGTACGATAGAACCACCCAGAGATCAACATATCCCCCAATAATATATAGTACACTTTTGTGTACTTTTATCTAGGAGGCCGATGTTAGTAAACAAAAATGTGAGTTTGGAACCGACTAGGTTTTCGTGCGATAAAGTAGGCCCTCGATTAGTTTACAAGATTGAATGGCCAATTCTCCTCCGAACCCTCGATTCTATTTTTTCGACGAATTTTGAGCTCCTAGATGGAGAGCAACTACCTCTTGACTTCAACCTACTATCGAAGTCAAGGACTTGACTGGACTGGCCGCACTGATTGGATTGCTTTCCTCGTCTAAAAAGCAGAAGGAGGCAAAACAAAGAGCAATTGACCCACAGGCAAAGGCGTAGGAAGCATAGGTGAAAGAAGCAGCACTCGCCACTGGAGGGCAGATGAACGGGAACCCGAAGTGATTGACTGACTGCGAAGTTACTCCTTTTCAAATATTTTCTAACCTAAAAAAAAAGGAAAAACTGGAATTGGCTTCTCCATTCCTGGTATTCCGGTAGATGGATCCTCCGGAAGCACAAGAATCCTTAGTTAGAATGGGATTCCAACTCAGCACCTAGGATCTGTGAACAACTTATTGTGAACAACTTTATATATTGGAGCATCATAGATTATCTAGCATACTTGAACAACTTATTGTGCATGCATGACGACATCCTTATTTTAGATTAATGTTCAAAACCCATTTCATACATGAAAATCCATTGTACAAGGAATCATGAATTAATTGCTCCCGGATCTTTGACTGAGAAATTGACCCCCAACCAATTTCCATAGAAGATTTGATTGGTCTGCTCAGCAACTCTGCCAATGAGGTGATGTACAAGCTGCTTTTTGAAGTTTTTTCTTTTGCCCATATACATGTTGTATCCATGCACAAAATGGTTTTATACTTCATTAATATAAAGGAAACATGTTCATTTTAGTTATCCTGTTTGTCATCTCAGAATAAGGTTTTCACCGTTAAGGAAAACGTATGTGAAGTCATGTACAACTGGTGCTACGATGGTTATATGAA